GAGGGTCTAGGCTTCCTTTTTTACAAAAGGATGGGAGATTTTTTTTTTTTTTTTTTTTTTTTTTTTAGACAGAGTTTCACTCTTGTTACCCAGGCTGGAGTGCAATGGCGCAATCTCGGCTCACCGCAACCTCCACCTCCTGGGTTCAGGCAATTCTCCTGCCTCAGCCTCCTGAGTAGCTGGGATTACAGGCACGCGCCACCATTCCCAGCTGATTTTTTGTATTTTTAGTAGAGACGGGTTTCACCATGTTGACCAGGATGGTCTCGATCTCTTGACCTCGTGATCCACCCGCCTCGGCCTCCCAAAGTGCTGGGATTACAGGCTTGAGCCACCGCGCCCGGCCAGGATGGGAGATTTTAAAGCAACTGCTCTTTGACCCATAAAAATCTGCCTTTATCTCCTTTCAATCTAGCCCCCATAGCTGAGAGAATTTTAAACATCTTTTTTTTTCTAGGATTGGTGCCTAAGGGTCATTCCCTTAGGAAAACCCCACCTTTTTTTTTACACCTTTGTTGAATGAAGGAGCTGGTGGAAGTTCAAATTTGTGTGTTAACATGTGACTTTAATTAGAGTCTGAAGATGGCCTCTTGCTAGTAATTTCACACTGCATCATTTTAAAAAAACACAGCACTTTCGTTCTGGTGAAGAGAGAGGCACTGGAATTCATCCCTATTGTCCACTCCCCACCCAGTGTATTTTACAGAAAATCACATGATATTTTTACAAGTTTAGTAAGTGTTATCCATACTAAGTATTCTCTAATTTAGGATGCATTTACAAGTTTAATAAGTGTTATCCATACTAAGTATTCTCCAATTTAAAATAAACTCTCTAAAACTCTTAAGAGTATCAGTTTTCTCAGCTAAATAAGCTAAGTTCGAAAGGTAAAAGGAATATTTCCTCTTATATTGAAGGTGGCATGTATTTGGGAGTAGTGTTTTAATAAGCATTTGTGAGCTCCCTGCTGGTGGATTTTAAAACCTCCTTAGCAATCTCATGGCAACTATGAGGAGTGCCAAAGTGTCTAGAGAATTATTATGTATCTGTTATGGTAACACTAGCTCTGTCACCTTCAACATATGGCATCCACAGTCACCGTTGATGCTGACAACCAGTCAACGCATGGGAAATGAGAAAGAGTGGCTTCTTAGATTTGCCTGAATGTCACAAATACCTGTCATAAGTTCCTATCTGCAGAGTCACCTCACTGCCAAAATTTAGCATGATGAAAAGGCAGTGCTGATATTTGGGGGATAGCTAAGTGGCTTTGCCACTGTTGTATTTTGCCAGTTATTAGGTTATTGTCTTAGCTCCAAACCCATTCTTTTTTTTTTTTTTTTTCTTTTTTCTTTTTTTTGAGACTGAGTCTTGCTCTATCACCCAGGCTGGAGTGCAGTGGTGCGATCTTGGCTCACAGCAACTTCTGCTTCCCGTGCCTCTGCCTCCTGAGTAGCTGGGATTACAGGCACCTGCCACCACATCTGGCTAATTTTTGTATTTTTAGTAGAGATGGGGTTTCACCATGTTGGCCAGGCTGGTTTTGAACTCCTGATCTCAAGTGATCACCCGCCTCTGCCTCCCAAAATTCGGGGATTACAGGAGTGAGCCACCGTGCCCGGCCCCAAACCCACCCTTCTATACCCTACTTTGTGATACTAGCAATAGGACACTGCAAACCACAAGTCAATTTCATCTGCTGGCTTTGTGTTAGCTTCTGCCAATTGGGGGCAGGAGAGGGAGATTACAAAGCTGAAGGAGGAAAGGACTTGCTTCGATGTGTTTGCTGACTGTGAGTTGCCTGTCCTGTCTGCTTGTAGTTCCTATGAGCACCACCCCAACCTTGCCTCTTTACCCTGGAAAGAGCAAGTCCTTCCTATAGCATCGAATGAGTCCGGTTTGCAGTTTTTCCATCACTTGAAAGAACCAATCTCATCATACCCCGCTCATAGACAACTCCAACAGCCTGTGCCTCTCCTTAGAAGTCTGGGTCCCAGCATCACAGGGACCCTCTTCCAAGCTCAGAGATTTCAGTACCAGTAAGCAGATGACCCCTTTTCAGAAGTATGGGTTTTAGCTCCATGGAGCCCTTCCCCCAAGTTTTAATGATTACAGCCCCTTCCCTTTCCCCCCTAGCCTAGGCTTCCTAAGCTTCTTGATCTGTATTTAGATTTCATAAAATTTACAGTCGAAAATATGGTTTGGCTGGGCATGGTGGTTCACACCTGTAATCCCAGAATGTTGGGAGGCAGAGGTGGGTGGATCACCTGAGGTCAGGAGTTTGAGACCAGCCTGGCGAACATGGCGAAACTTTGTCTCTACTAAAAATATAAAAATTAGCCAGCTGTGGTGGTGCATGCCTGTAATCCCGGCTACTCAGGAGACTGAGGCAGGAGAATCACTTGAACCCGGGAGGCAGAGATTACAGTGAACCGAGATTGTGCCACTGCACTCCAGCCTGGGCAACAGAGTGAGACTCTATCTCAAAAAAAAAAAAGAAAAGAAAAGAAAATATGGATTCACATACTCAAGTTGTTCCAAGTATACTTAACATTTTTCATTGGCTGAATTATAAATTTTTAGCTTTTTGCTTTGGGATAATTATCCACTCAAAAGAAGTTGAAAATAGTACAGAGAGGTTCCATGTACCTATCACTCAGCTTCTTCCATTAGTGACATTTTCTGTAACTATAGTGCATTGTCAAAACTGGAACATAATGCAACTAACCAGGCTGGAAGTCTCTCTCTCTCTCTTTTTTTTTTTTTTTTTTTTTTTTTTTTTTAAGCAGGGGGATGGAGTCTCACTCTGTTCCCCGGGCTGAAGTGCAGTGAGAAGATCTTGGCTCACTGCAACCTCCTGCAACCTCCGCCTCCTGGGTTCAAGCGATTCTCCTGCCTCAGCCTCCCGAGTAGCTGGGAATACAGGCATGTGCCACCATGCCTGGCTAATTTTTGTATTTTTACTATAGATGTGGTTTCGCCATGGCGGCTAGGCTGGTCTCAAATGCCTGACCTCAAGTGATTTACCTGCCTTGGCCTCCCAAAGTGCTGGGATTACAAGTATGAGCTACCACGCCCAGCCACCATCCTTCTACTGTCTAGCTCCACAAGTTCAATTGTTTGTTTGTTTGTTTATTTATTTATTTATTTATTTTTGAGACAGAGTCTCGTCCTGTTGCCCAGGCTGGAGTGCAGTGGTGCGATCTCACCTCTCTGCAACCTCTGCCTCCCAGGTTCAAGTGATTCTCCTGCCTCAGCCTCCTGAGTAGCTGGGATTACAGGTGCCTGCCACCACACCTGGCTAATTTTTTTGTATCTTTAGTGGAGACGAGATTTCACCATGTTAGCCAGGCTGGTCTCGAACTCCTGACCTCATGATCCACCCACCTTGACCTCCCCGTGCTGGGATTACAGGCATGAGCCACCACGCCTGGCCCTGTTTTGATTTTTAGGTCCCACAAATAAATGACATGTGATGATTGTCTTTCGGTACCTGGCTTACTTCTTTTAGCATAATGATCTCCAGTTCCATCCATGTTGTAGCAAATGACAGGATCTCACTCTTTCTTATGGCTGAATAGTACACCATTGTGTATAAGTACCACATATCTTTATCCATTTATCCGTTGATGGACACTTAGGTTGCTTCCAAACCTTTGCTATTGTGAACACTGCTACAACAAACATGGAAGTGCAGATATCTCTTTGATATACTTATTTCCTTTCTTTTGGGTATATATCCAGTAGTGGGATTGCTTGATCATACAGTAGCTCTCATGTGCATAGATTTGTGTAACCACTACCACTACAATGAAGAGACAGGGCTGTTCCATTAGTACAGCGGAAGTTCCTCATGCTACCCCTTTATTTTCACTTCCTCCCTTCCCTACAACTAACCCTGGCAGCCACTTGTATAGTCTCCATCTATATAGTTTAGTCATTTTGAGAATGCTATATAAATGGATTCATACATTATGTGACATTTTGAGACTGTCTTTTTTTTTTTTTTTAGACCAAGTGTCCCTCTGTTGCCTAGGCTGGAGTGTGGAGGACAGTGGTGTGATCTCAGCTCACTGCAACCTCCGCCATCCAAGTTCAAGTGATTTTCCTGCCTCAGCCTCCCAAGTAGCTGGGATTACAGGCGTGCGCCACCAAACCCAGCTAATTTTTGTATTTTTGATAGAGTCAGGATTTCACCTGTTGGCCAGGCTGGTCTCAAACTCCTGACCTCAGGTGATCCACCCACCTCAGCCTCCCAAAGTGCTAGGATTACAGGCATGAGCCACCATGCCTAGCCTCTTCTTTTTTCTTTTTCTTTCTTTCTTTTTTTTTTTTTTTTTTTTTTGAGATGAAGTTTCACTCTGTCACTTAGGCTGGAATGCAGTGGTGTGATCTCAGCTTACTGCAACCTCCACCTCCCAGTTTCAAGTGATTCCCCTGCCTCAGCCTCCCGAGTATCTGGGATTACAGGCGTGTACCATGATGCTCTGCTAATTTTTATATTTTTAGAGACTGGGTTTCACCATGTTGGCCAGGCTGGTCTCAAACTCCTAAGCTCAAATGATTGGCTCACCACAGCCTCCCAAAGTGCTGGGATTACAGGTGTGAGCCACCATGCCCAGCCTCCTGTGTTCTCTTCTAAAAGCTTTATAGTATTACATTTAAATCCAAGATCGAATTTTAGTTAATTTTTGTATAAAGTATGAGGCTCAGGAATAGGTTTATTGTTTATTTCTGCCTGTGGATGTGCAAATTTCCCAGCACCATTTGTTGAAAAGAAAATTCCCATGTTTCTGGGGTCCCATGACCACCCCAGTTGTAACTCACTAGAAGGAGTCACAAGAGTCAATATAGCAGGTTTTACTCACTGCTAAAGTTTATTAGGGAAAGGAAGCAGAGCAAAATCAACAGGAAAAATGCATGCATTGGACAGAGTCCAGAGAGGTCAGGCATAGACTTCCCCATCTGAAGCCACACAGGATGTGCTTTCTCTCTTGCAGGGAACTCCAGGAGCATGTGAGGAATAACTCTGCCCAGAGAAACCTGTTCAAATCCCAGGGTCTGAGGCTTTTATGTGTAGAGGAACAGCTCTGTCATGGCAACCTGGCAACACAGACCACACAGACAAAGACTTGACCTGCAGTTTATCTGAATCTTGGCAGAACTTGTGATCTTCCCAGTATACAAGAGGATAAGCGGTCCCTTTTGTTTTGATGTAGCCCTTTTTGGTGTGTGAAATAAGGACCACAGGGAGCTGGCACCTTTGGCTACTCTTCTTTTCACTCTCCATATAAGTAGTAAACTGTTTGAATCTTAAAAGCGCTCATGGTGTCTTTTTTATTGGCAAAGTCTGTCAGGCCTTAGCCTTTTCTCATACTTCACCAAATTACTTTTGCATCTTTGTCAAAAGTCAGTTGGACATATCTGTGTGAATCAGTTCTTTTTAACAGCTTTACTGAAGTGTGATTGGCATACAATAAACTGCACATATTTTAAGTGTACAATCTTATTTTGATCCTCAAAGGGTCTCACTTTGTCACCCAGGCTGGCATGCAGTGGCACAAACATGGATTACTTCAGCCTTGACATGCTGGGCTTAAATGATCCTCCCATCTCAGCCTCCTAAGTGTCCAGGAGTTACAGGCATACACACCATGACTGGCTAATTAAAAAAAAAAATTAGTCCAGACGTGGTCTCACTGTGTTGCCCAGGCTGGTCTCAAACTCCTGAACTCAAGCAGTCCTCCCACGTCGGCCTCCCAAAGTGCTAGGATACAGGGGTGAGCCACCGCACCTGGCCTAGTTTGTGTTTTCTAAGAATTTATATGTTTTGCCTGGGCATGGTGGCTCACGCCTGTAATCCCAGCACTTTGGGAGACCAAGGATAACTTTGAGGTCAGGAGTTCACAGCCAGCCTAGACAACATGGTAGAAACCTGTCTCTACTAAAAACACAAAAAATAGCCAGGTGTGGTGGTGCACACCTGTAGTCCCAGCTACCTTGGTGAGGTGGGAGAATCATTTGAACCCAGGAGACAGAGATTGCAGTGAGCCGAGACTGCACCATTGCACTCCAGCCTGGGCAACAGAGTAAGACTCTATCTCAAAAAAAAAAAAAAAAAAAAAAAAAACAACCAAAAAACAACAAAAAAATTTATACATTTTGATTCATACATCACTTTTTTCTGACTTCTTTCACTGGGCATAATAATTTTCAGATTCACGTATGTTTTTATATATATCAATAATAGTCCATTTCTTTATTGCTGAGTAGTATTTTGCTGTATGGCTATACCACAATTTATCCATTTACATGCTGATGCACATTTGGGCTCTTTCCAGTTCGTAGCTATTGCAAATAAAGCTTCTATGAACATTTGTATATAAGACTGGAGTGCAGTGGTACGATCCCCAGGCTTGAGTGCAGTGATGCAATCTCGGCTCACTGCAACCTTCACCTCACAGGTTCAAGCGATTCCCCCGCCTCAGCCTCCTGAGTAGCTGGGACTACAGGTATGTGCCACCAAACCCAACTAATTTTTGTATTTTTAGTAGAGATGGGATTTGACCATGTGGGTCAGGGTGGTCTTGAATTCCTGACCTCAAGCAATCCACCCTCCTCAGCCTCCCAAAGTGCTGCGATTCCAGGCGTGAGCCAGCATGCCTGACCTAAATGGTATTTTTAAATTTCAATTTCAGTTGTCAAATACTAGTATATAGAAATGAAATTTTAAAAGACATTAATGATGTAGCCTGCAACCTTGCTAAACTCACTTTTCAGTTCCAGAACATTTTTAGATTGTAACTGATTTTCTGCATATGAGCAGTTATCTGCAAGTAAAGGGAATTGTACTTTTTCCTTTATCATTTGTGAGCATTTATTGCATTTTGTTGCCTGATTTCTCTGGTCAGACCCTCCAATACAATGTTTGCTGTGCTCTGGATGCATCCCTCAAAATTCATGTGTTGGAAACTTGATCCCTAGTGCAGCAGTGTTGAGAAGTGCGGCCTTTTAGGAGATGTTTAGGTTTTGAGGGCTCTGCCTTCTCAATGGATTAATGCCATTATAAAAAGGGCTTGTGGGAGTGGGTTTGCTCTCTTCTGCCACATGGGGACACAGCATACCTCTCTTGCAGAGGATGCAGTGTTAGAGGCATCATCTTGGCAGCAGAGAGGTCAGGCTCTAACATGCCACTGACTTGATCTTGGACTTCACAGCCTTCAGAATTATCAGTAATTAATTTCTGTTCTTTATAAATTACCCATTCTCAGGTATTCTGTTATAACGGCACAAAACAGACTAAGACAATGCTGACTATAAGAGGTGAAAACACCCTTGACTTGTTACTGATTGTGTAAGGAAAGCATTCAGTCTTTCACCATTAAGTATGTTAGGTGTAGGATTTTCACAGATGCACTTTAATAGGTTGAGGAAGTTTCCTTCTACTCTTATTTTGCTGAGAGTTGTTACTAGCAATAGATGTTGAGTTTTGTCAAATGATTTTTCTGTATCTATTGAGATGAGCCCATGGCTTTTCTTTGTTAATTTATTAATATGGTCAATTATACTGAGTGATTTTCAAATGTAAACTAACCTTGCATTCCTGATATACACCACACTTACACATGATATTTTTTTTTAATTTTTAATTTTTGTGGGTACATAGTAGGTATATATATCTATGAGGTACATGAGATGTTTTGACATAGTCATGCAATGTGAAATAAGCACACCATGAAGAATGGGGTATCCATCCCCTCAAGCATTTATCCACTGAGTTGCAAACAATTCAGTTACACTCTTTGAGTTATTTTTAAATGTATAGTTAAGTTATTATTGACTATAGTCACCCTGTTGTGCTATCAAATATTAGGTCTTAGTCATTCTTTCTACTGTTTTTTTTTTAGACCTATTATATTTTTATATGCTTATATTGCTGGATTTAATTTGCTAAGATTTTTTTTTTTTTTTTTTTTTTTTTCTTTTTTGAGATGGATTCTTGCTCTGTCACCCAGGCTGGAGTGCAGTGGTGGGATCTTGGCTCACTGCAACCTCCACCATCAGGGTTCAAGCAATTCTCCTGCCTCAGCCTCCCCGAGTAGCTGGGATTATACGTGCCCACCACCACACCTGGCTAATTTTTTGTATTTTTAGTAGAGACAGGGTTTCACCGTTTTAGCCAGGATGGTCTCGATCTCCGGACCTGGTGATCTGCCCACCTTGGTCTCCCAAAGTGCTGGGATTACAGGCGTGAACCACTGCGCCCAGCCAATCTGCTAAGATTTTGTTGGAGTTTTTTGTGTCTAAGTTCACGAGGGGCTATTGGTTTGTAGTTTTATCTGTCTTGCTTCTGTATCATGGTAATGCTGTCCTCATAGAATGAGTTAGGAAATACTTCCTCCTTTCAATTTTCTGGAAGAGTTTAGGTAAAATTGATGTTATTTCAAACCTTAAGTTTTTGATAGTGATAACCAGTGTAAACATCTGGGTCTGGCGTTACTAAACTGCAGTTTTCTAGTGAGAAGCTTTTTAACTACAAATTCCATTTCTATGATAGGTTTGGGGTATTCATGTTTGTGTGTTTGTATGTGTGTGTATGTATTTATAGATAGATAGATAGATAGATAGATAGATGTAATCTCCTTTAATGAGCTTTAGTAGTTTATATCATTCAAGCAATTAGCCCATCTCATCTAAGTCCTCAAGTTTATTGATATAAATGTGTTTATAATATTCCCTTATTAACCTTTTAATATTTGTAGAATCTGTGTTAAGATTTCTATCTCATTCATGACATTGGTCATTTGTGTCTTCTCTTTTTCCTGATCCACATAGCCAGAGTTTTATCAATTTTGCTTATTAACTGAGAGAACCAGCTTTTGGGTTCATTACATTTCTCTAAGGATTTTCTGTTTTCTATTTTATCAATTTCTGCTTCTTACTTTTGGCTTAATTTGATCTAGTTTTTCAATTTATTAATGTGGAAATGATGTCATTGATCAGAAATCTTTTTCCTTTTCTTACATATGAATGTAGTGCTATAAATTTTCCACTATATATTGCTTTATGGCATTTCATATTTTAATATATTGTATTTCCATTTTCATTCAGTTAAATATGCTTTCCAATTCCCCTTTTGATTTTTTCTTGGATTCATGTTTTGTTTTTAAGTATGCCATTTAGCTTCCAAATATTTGAGGATTTTCCAGCTATCTTTGTTATTAGAATATAATTTAATTCCATTGACATCAGAATACATACTTTGTATTACTTGAATACAGTTTTTACTTCAGGTATTTTGAAGCTTTGTTAAGTACACAAACATTTAGGACAGTTATGCACTCTTGATGAATTGACCCCTTTTTTGTCATCATCCTACTGTGATATTTGCCGCTTTGAAATCTACTTGTCTGTCACTAACATAGCCATCTGTCTTTCCTGCATCTGGTGTTAGCATTAATTAACTAGATCTATTAGTTTTCCGTGGCTACTATAACAAATTACTGAAATGTTGGTGGCTTAAAAAAAATTTCGGCCGGCCACCATGGCTCACCCCTGTGATCCCAGCACTTTGGGAAGCTGAGACAGGTGGATCACGAGGTCAGGAGATTGAGACCATCCTGGCTAACACTGTGAAACCCCATCTCTACTAAAAATACAAAAAATTAGCCAGGCAAGGTGATGTGTGCCTGTAGTCCCAGCTACTTGGGAGGCTGAGGCAGGAGAATCCCTTGAACCCAGGTGGCAGAGGTTGCAGTGAGCTGAGATTGCACCACTGCACTCCAGCCTGGGCAACAGAGCAAAACTCTGTCTCAAAAAAAAAAAAAAAAAAAAAAAAAATTATTCTCCCATGATTCTGGAGGTGAGAAGTCCAAAATCAAGGTATAGGTAAGACCACACTTCCAGCATAGGGTCTAGGGGAGAATATGTTCCTTGTCTCTTCCAGCTTCTGGCGTCTGTCAGCATTCTTTGGCTTGTGGCTACAGCTCCATCTCTTTCTCTGCTCCGTGTTCATATTGCCTTCTCTTCTGTGTTAGTGTAGCTAAATTAGTTCTCTTTCTCTCCCATAAGGATACATGTGATTGCATTTAGGGCCTACCTGGACAAGCTCCTCTCAAAAGCCTTAAGTTAATCACATGTTTTGCTATGTAAGGTAATAGCTACAGGGTTCTGGGGATTAGGACATAGACATATCTTTGGGGCCTCCATTGAGTCCACTACACATGGTATATCTTTCTCCATCCCTTTTTTTTCCACTGGTTTGTGTATTTAAAGTGTGTTTGTTGTGAATAGCATACACTTAGGTCCTGCTTTTTAAT